TGACTGTAAAAACTACACTGCGCATGCTCAGAGTATTTTTCAATGTAATGTGTGTGGCAAAAAAAAAAAACACCATAGGGGCACAGAGCTGCCATCCCCACCATACGTCATCTCACATCATTCAGAGCTGATTGGCTGTAAGTACGTGTGCCGCGAAAAGTGTGGTGTGTGAAGAGCATGGATGTATAATAAGAGGAGACGAGAGCTGCAGTGACGCGTCCTAAAACCAGGAAGTAAGCTGCAAAAAAGCAATGAGGTTTCTCTATAGGATTTTAGAAAATAGCTTGAAATAAGATCTGTGGGAAACGTACCTGTTAGATAAATGCACGTTTTGTTCAGCCGGATAATATCCACATGTCTACCCTACTTTTATCATTTTCGAATCATAAATCTATCGATTAGATTTATGATAGACTTTTGAAACTACAAGATGATAAGGAGGACTTTTACAAAAAAGTTATAGAATTTTTTGTCCAGAAGGATAGGCAAATGGACTTCATCTTCAAGTCAAGGTAAGACCGCAATTTTTTGAAAATGGGATCTTACTTAGAGAGAACAATTCAATATTTAAATGATCAAATTACATTTTTTGGGTATCCTTTTGTTGAACTGTCTGTTTAAAATTAATCGAAGCATCAGACAAAAAAAGCTTTTGAAAATAATATTATATTTTGGTTTAGGTCAAAATAGGTCAAAAGTTTTTTGTGCCCCACCACTTTTGTACATATAAAAACGCCACTGCCAGTTAGTAAAACCATAAAGAAATGCTTTGGCATGTGTGCTTCAAGATTGCAGGCGTAACACTTTTAAAATGGGTGTTTTCTAATTGGTGATCGGTTGATTAGGCCTGAAACTTTTTTTTTTTTTTTAAATGTACTCTAGCGAATCACTCACGTCACGTTTATTGCGCTTATTCACTTCTATCTATGTCTTTGTGTTGATTACATGTAATCATGTCGCACAAAAAACATATCCGGTTTTGCAAAATCCACTTTTTCATGTCTTTTATACATAAACATGTGTCCCCTCTGTGTAAAGAGATTCTGAAAGTTTCAGGAAAAAAGATTCACTCACTTTTTGTCCTGATCCATTTATATAAAAACCTGTCTGAAAATGAGCTGATCAGATTTTCGCCATTTTATGATGTCATAACGATTTTTTGGCTTGTGTAACCATTAGCCAATAACCAACCAAGGTACATAAATATGTGTCCCCGGTGTGTCAGGGAACTCACAAAGTGTCAGAAAATAAAACCCTCTCTCTTTTCCTCCGTACCCACATCTCTAAAAACGGGGCTACAACGGAGCTGATCCAGATTTGCGTCCGATATGACGTAATATCGGAAATGTGGGCTGGCTTTACACCCACGGCCCTATCAGAAACGTTGCTATAAGATAAGATCAAATAAGATGGTACTTGATCCCAATTTGGGATTTGTTTTGTGTTGCAGCAGCATAAAAAGACAAGGCATTGTACGATAAAAATTCAAAGACTAGAAATAAACAAGAAAGTAGAAAATATACATGTTGAATTTAACAAGGTATTATATATACAAATATATATATACATAAATATATGACAGAAGGAATATTAATATTACATTTTGAACAGATTATATAAATGTAAAATGTACAATGTGTGTATCAGAAACAATGCGCGACGTGTTTTGGACATAATATGGTCTTTGTTTACATTAGCAAGCATCGCTAACACTCAGAGCTAACCTGTACTGGAGAGAGTATGTGTAAAATAGCAGGAAATTAAAAAAGGAACTCACTTTGCAGTAAACCCGCAAGAAAAATTTGAGCTCCAAATCCTTTTCAAAGAATCCTTGATGTGGTTTGGAACATGATATGGTGTTTCATCACTGCAGCATTAAGCTGCATCTGAGCAGAGCATACAGCCTGCTCGTCACAGAACTCACTGTTTGCCTTGCCGTACTCAAAAGGGGGTGGGGCCAGCAGCTACTGTCACAGAATCAGCCGTTCTCTAACAGGGCTGAAATAGAGGGATATGAGGGATGTCTAAAATGCATGATCTGTTTGGTATTTTGAGCAAAACACATCATAGACATGTTTTTTATATATTTTTATATATCTGAGACCCATATAATATGCCTAAAAATAGCATGATAGGAGATCTTTAAACAAAAATTGCCATGGGAAAAATCTAAGTGTTTGCTGTTTGCTACTTAAAAGTCCAGTATGTAGAATAAGTGGCATTAAACAATGAGGTTGTAACCAACTGAATACCCCTCGGTTGGGCCTTCACTTTCCAAGGGGGTCGGAGAATCTGTGGTGGCCTACAGGTTACATAAAAATGCTAAGGCCCCTCTTTTGAGCCAGTACAGTATACGGTTAATTTGACTTAGGACAGAGCCAAAGAGGTATATTTCCCAAAAGTGTTGAAACATTCTTTAAGGTACCCTGCATTGGCCCTTTGTGTTTTTCCGCTGCGACTGATTGGCTATGCTTGCCACATTATTGTTAAATTATAGATCTTGGGAAATGTGTTATCATGTTTGTCCTGTAAAAGTTGTTCTCTGAAAGCTGTTATTGTTTTTTGGACCAATGATCTGTACAACTATAAAACTGTTGAAAACAGGAACATAAATCCATGACTGTTATTTTTATTACATGTTATTGTGATACTATGTTATGTCACCCAACTCACTAACAACTTAAATAAGAGGGTAATGACGTCTGACCGATTGAGGGTAGGCTTTACATGTTACTTAAATTAGCATATGTACGTTACACATCTGCATCCAGTAACATTCATTATAGTCTCCTGTACGGAAATTACAAGTGTCACTTTCTTATAAAGCTTTTCCCTTTTCTCTTTCATTACATTTAGAAGATAACGGGCTTGATGTGGTGCAGAGCTTGCAATTCCTTGTCAGGCATTCAGATTTTATTAGAGCCCTTTTTTTCATGTCCAAATCGCTTTTAAAAACCTGACAGCCATTAGACAGGAAATCTAAATTCTTTACTGCTATTAGTGGTTGTAATTATAGAAATGATCTCAAACTGACTCACAGAGGGTTTCTTTTATGCACATGGCGACGGAGGTGGGTCAGAAACCCCCCAGTGGGCCGAACATTTCATCTGACAGCTGCGAAAATAAATTAAGAGATTTCTATTTTTGTTTCTCTTTACCACACACAGTGTCTTTATCACATTTCTTGTAAAAAATATACACTTTATACTTATTGCTTCTCCTTTAAAATCAGTTCAAATCATTAGTATTGCTCTATCAATAGTTTGACATTCTGAAAAAAGGTTTTTGTGCATGTAAATGGTCTGCAAAGGCTAAAATCCAAAAGTTCCCTCCAGAGGGAGATTCTCTCCCACACAATCCCCCCTGCCTGATACGCCTCCATTTGACTCCTTTGTTACTTCTGCAACGTAGTGACATCACTATTTAACACTTTGCGCTTGTATTGGCTAAAGATCTTACACATTTTACATGATAAGTTAAGGGGTGGGACCAGAAGTCGCGTTAACCGAATATTTTCTGTCTACTGTATGACAGATCTTTTTTTACAATGACGGAAAAATCTGAAAGCAGTGCGTCATTTTGACAGATTAGAACAAACTCGGAACAGCGCCAAAGCTTCCCCACAGCGAGGCTCCGGTGTTATGCATGCCCGCCAAAAAGGAAATGATACAGTTTCCAAACCTAACTCTGCCGTACAAATCATTGAAATGTCTGTGAGTTTTGGCTTTACGCTCCACTGCTCCCGCGAGGTGCAGTGGGCATGCATAACACGTTGACAGTTCACGAGCGTGCTCTCCCCCCCCCCCCTTCGTCAGAGTTGTGTAAAGTCCGACGGGTAATACTGGATTTTGACGGAATTGTTACGATCCTGTCCGTCAATATGACGGGCAGCGAAAAAGTCTAGCGCAACCTCTGGGTGGGACATCTCTAAGCGGTTGACCAATCACAACAGAGCCGGCCAGCTAACCAATCAGAGCAGACTGGGCTCTGGTTTCAGACAGAGGGTGAAAAGAGGTGCTGCAGCACAGGCAGTATGAGAAAAATAAAGAGCTTTTTGAACATTAAAGCATGGAGACATGACACAGAGTAGAGGCACAAAATACAAATATGAAACCTGAAAGTGAGCATAATAGGGCCCCTTGTAGGTGTTTGAATGATTTTTAGACAGAGCCAGGATAACTGTTTCCATCTGCTTTCACTCTTTATGCTAAACTAAGCTAATCCTTTGACCCCAGCCCTGCACTTAACAGGGAACGTAACCAATTGACCACGTCAAAGTCAGATCCCTATTGTTAAGAGGTTTTTAAGCTAAATAAAATTGGAATGAAGAATTAAGTGTCTCCACAGCAGTGGTGGAAAGTGACTAAGTACATCTACTCAATACTGTTCTTAAGTTCAGGTACTTTTACTTTACCTAAGTACTTTCATTTTATACTACTTTATATTTCTACTATACATTTGTAAGCCAATTTTTTACTTTTTACTCTACTACGTTTATTTTACAGATTTGTTTACTAGTAACCTTATACATTCAGTACAAGTACATTTTTTTAAAGCGTACTTAAGTACTTTTAGTTAAGAACCATTCTTGATGCAGTACTTTTACTTAAAATGTAGTATTTCTACAGTGTGGTACTTTTACTCAAGTAAAGAATCTGAATACTTTTTCCACCACAGCTCCACAGGGAGCTGAAACATGAAAGACTTTTAGTTAAATGAACAATAACATTTAAAACAAATATTTTTTTTGGGTATTCAGTGTTTTTCCAATAAGGTAGGCCTACTCGTCTGTGTTGTTTAACATTGATTATATATTTCTCCCCTCATAAAGAGGATTTGCATTTTTTGATTGGTTTGCTGGTTAGTTTTACTCTAGGTTTTTGTGTAATAATACTCTTATACTAATCCTATAATATCCCCTGCAGTGTGCCTGCCCATGCACTGCTGTCTCTGTTTACAATGTTAAATGCCGTGTGTATTTAAGAAATAGTAAATAACTAAATATATGGTTTCTTCATAATCAATAACCACAGGTGGGTGAATCAAGCAAAGCTCTCATATGTTTTGAGTTGCCGGCACGCGGCAGAGAAAGGGTTAAGAGTCACATGGTAGCGGGTGGTATTATCAGCCCTGGGCTGTAAAAAAAAAAAAAAAGTGTAAGTGGAGGAAAAAAACCTTTAGGAGAACAAAGAAATCAGAGTCTATTTAAAGAGACGTAGCCCCGGATTCTGCAGCCGTGTGACTCCCGGCTTTGCGCACCGCTCCTCCTGCGCCACATCCAGCCTGCCTGTGCACCAGCACGTCTCCTGACGGGGCGAGGATGCGGACTTCTCTGGCCGTGTGCTGCTGCGTCTTTGCACTGCATTGCCTGCAGAGCACACTTTGTCTTCCAGTGCGGGGATCCAGCAGGTACAAAGCACCGGTGAGTTTGAGGACGCTCGTTTTTTTTCAAACTTGTTGCAAAGCAGAAAAAACTAAGTAGGCCTACCAATAGTCTACTTGTTTATGTTCGGGTGCAGGATGATTGCATTGGGTTTGGTTTAACGTGTTGCACGCATGGGGAATGATTTATTATTTTGCATGTTTTATGGAATCTGCAGTGTTGACTTTCTCCATTCTTTCTGCCGCTACAAGGGTCCCCCCCCCCACCCCCTAAACACACACAGTGCGCACACATGCACACACGTTTTCAACTGTTTTCCTTTGCAAACTTTAGAGCCGAATGAATCTTTTTTTGCTGCAGAAAAAGACACCGATGTACATTTTTGTATTAAGAATTACTTTTAGTTTTAAGAAGTTATTTTCTAAAGCAAAATGTGCACCTAACAACGCTCACAAGCGCACTGAATACACACTATTTCCTCTGAATCATCTGGACAATTGGCGCTTATGTTGTAATTAAGAAAATGTCTAGTTGTACGCACAGGAGCTGGCCTGTCACTGTAATTAGGCCGGAAGCTGCTCTTACGTGCAAAACAATACTATCATTACTCTTTATTTTTGTGTGTGCTCAGCAGTAGCATTCATGACTTTGCAGCCACCACCTGACGTGCTCTCCTTTCCGTGCATGCAGCATGACAGCGGAGTGTTTTGGTTTTGCTTCAGTGCACCCAGCTCAGATTTCTGGCTAGGCGAGAGAGAAAGAGAGGTTGCTGAGTTCCCCTCCTCTGCAGGGCAGGAAGCAGTAATAACAGGTCTTAGGGGCATTTTGTCAACAACACCATAAAAGACAGGGGTCCAGCATATGGACCCGTCATGACGGCGACAGTGGCACGCGTTACACAAATAGGACAGCCATGTGTTTCAGTGGCTTTTTTTTAATCTCTGACATATTTACCTGCCCTGACAGCGATGTTTGTGTGTAACAGAGGCAACATGTCCTCCTTGAGCTCCTACTGTAGCAGGAACTACCAAAGGAGAGGTTTTTGAGACTTTGGCCATGTGTCTGTTTGTTTTCGGACAGAATGTGTCACTGCAAAAGCGTCACTACATTGCAAGATGCAGTCACTAAACTTTTTTTTGTTTTAGTTAAGATCAAAAAAGAAAATGGACAAGGTCCGAAACTTAATAGAGAGGCGAAGTCCCGCCCATCTACTTCCGACCCATCGGACCTTATTTCGGAAAAAGTATGTATTGAAGTCAATGGGGAGAGAAAGATTATTTTTCAATCCCGTTTGAATTGTGCCACGAATTACACATATGATGTTTGTCAATCTTAACAAATAATTTCCATGTAAAAAAAGTCACAGTTTGTCGTAAAACTGTTGAAATATAAGACTATGAAAAATACGCAACTGACTACAAATCCCAGAATCCCGGTCCCGCATGCTGGCTCCGACTAACTCCCCTTTTGTGTATGTACAGCTCTCAACATGCCCAGACTTGTAGTGATTTTCACCTCTTTTAATACTTTTCGCCTCATTCTGAAAGAAAGAAGTGAAATGTGCCAACGTGACGGCCGTCTTGGTGAGTGGTGCGAGACGGGAGATGTAGTTCATTGAGCGGTTTCACACAAAAAAAAGTGTTACTTCACAGTTTTGCGACACATTTTAATTTTTTTGACTTGCAAAATTATCTTTTAAATTGACAAACATCATATGTGTAATTTGTGGCACAATTCAAACGGAATCGAAAGATAATCTTTCTCTCGCCATTGACTTCAATACATAATTCTTCCGGAATAAGGTCCCATGGAGGTCCACTGGAAAGGGAGGGACTTTGGCTCTCTATGCCCCCACTTTACACCCCTGGTTCTATTTGTCAACACAAGACTTTACAGAAGTGTAGTTGGAATCAAAATGAAGATGGTTGTGTTCTGAGAAAAATACCCAGAAGTAAGAGTGTATGTTTGATCCTATCGCTATATATTCGCTAGTATTTAAAGTAAGATTCATTCATGCCCTTCAGCAACCCCGACCACATGCTGCTCTTTATGTAATATGTTTCTATATAATTTGTATACGCTGTACATCTGGATGCCTTGTATGCTCTCTTCCCCTGTATCATATGATTACTTCCTGAAGCAACCATGTAACCCATATTTACAGAGATGGCTGGTTAAGAATGCATGCTTTTTCCACAGGAATGTCTTGTTTACAGGTACACAGAAAAATAAGAGATTTTTCAAAACAGAAGGGCAACTCAGATAAGCAGTTACGGAGAAGAATGTGGTGGTTACTTGGAATACTTCTGAGAAGGATGCAAGTGTTGATTTTGTAGGGAGGGTTGCAAGTTGTTTTGAAAGGCTGATGTAAATACATTTTGGTATGTTCCTGAAGCATCAACCAATCCCACAGGCAGAGCTGTTTAGAGCACAGTTGCAAAGGGGATGGTGATGTGCTTACATTTGTCAGACAAATCACGCAAAATTCAATTCTATCATCAGAAATGCAGCAGTGAGTGTTGCTCTTACCCTAAAGTTGAACGAACAAATTCCTGACAGTATAAAACACTATTAAACTCTGCACAAACCAGAATGTGGTACGGAAAATTCTGCTGCTTGACCGTGCTGTGTGTAGAAGCTTGGTTAGCTGGGGGAGTTAACTTGTCTACTGTAGCTAGTAAGAAAACTGCTCTAGCTAGTAAGCTAAATGCTTTAGCCAGGGAGCTAACTGCCAACGAGTGAGCTATGTTTGAGACAAGCTAGCAAGAGCGTCAGAGTCATGCCATGAACAGGGTGTTTGAAAGAGGATAAGGACTCCTACCTTTCAGTGGAGCACTTTATACTCCAGTGAGAGAACGGTTATATTGAAATGGATGGTACAAAATAGCTAATAGGGTATTGCAGTGTAAGAAGTGAGAATTGCACATTTTCATCATGTTGAGTGTAAAGTTGAGTATCCTACACACAAACAATATTGACACCATTACCCGTACCAGGAATTTGAAACTTTTTCAGGTGCTCTACTATTTCTATATTAATAGATACAGTAGTATCTGTCCTGGCATCCTGCAGCTTGTCAGTCCAACCCAGTCTCACGGCATTTCGTGTTATAGTCACGACATTTAATCTATTGATTCGTGTTCACCAACCCGATTTTCTCCTTTTTTTCGTGTCACACAGAACGATTTTAAAAGCAATGTATTTCTATTGGTAGTGTGTTTCGTGCCTGCACCACGTCTTTTTGTCCGGTCGGGTCTTGGAAGACCGGAAGCTGGGTGGTTCATAAAAACATGTTCTTACTCAATATCAAGCCACGATTATTGTTTTTAATTTTAAATCGTATAATGTCGGACTTTTTTTGCCGTCCGCGAGGAAAATAAATGGGGCTCAGAGCCTCAGAATACTGAAATCTGTATTTTTTAAATCTTTTTTTCCTTCTAATTTGTTATTCTTTTCTAAATAACACACTGTTATTTACTCAACAATAACACACAATTATCCTTGTTTTTATTTATTTGTTTGATTCTATAATCTCTGGCTTTTTTGGCATCCGTCAGGAACTGAATTTCAAAATAAAATAACCGGAAACAGATACACACCCACTGAACTGATTACCCAAGATCCTCAGCTATGGTTTAAGCTCGGTGATTGGATTGTTTAGCCACAATGCACGTTGGGATATGGTGTTTATGCGATATGAAATCCGAAAAACAAAGAAAAAAAAGATTATAATTTAATCCGAGTGTACTTGCTTTTCTCTTTGAAAGTCATCACATAACGGCATTGTAATACACGGTTCGGCTGCATTAAATATTACACATCTGCCGTAGTTATTTATTTATCCCTGATTAGAAGACTTCTAGACAAACTGGAAGAACTGCCACCGAAACTGAATACGTGACGTGGATCATAAATATATCAGCAATTAAACAACATCTTCCATTTCTCTTCACACAATACGTCTCCTTGCAGTATCAACATTAATTCGGCTGACTTTTATATTTGATCCAATTGGTAGATAGGTTATATTTACCCCATAATGGTGCACAGCTGATATAAAAGGACTTGTCGTTTTTAAAGATATTACTGATTTTCTTTCAATATAAGAATGTAAATACTGAGTTGTGAGAATAGTCAGTGGTTTTGGGTGATGGAAGACACATCTATGGATTCAGAATTTCAAAAGCTTACCATTAAATGACGGATATACCTTTCTGTCTGTGATGGTTTACAAATCAGATATTAATGTGTAGAAGTAAAACATGTGAAATAATATAACAATATCCTGTAAAATTATGTGAAAACATGAATAAAACTACACATCTTCAGATGTTACACATACATAAGTGTCCTACACTAATAATACAAAGTTATTATGGCATTGTATGCTGTGTGTACCTTGTGTGCACCGCCTAGTGGTTAAAGCACGTTATTGAATATTCTTTTTAATATGTTATATTTGATTAAACAAATATTAAGAGTACATACAAAATAGGGGGAAAGTAGAAGGTCAATGATAGAAATATAGAATGTAAGAAATCAAGAAGATACTGTAAGTGATCTCTACAATAAAACAGTTTAGTGCCGGATTTACAAAGATATTAATAGGAGGATGTGCAAAACAGAAAAACGAATTAACCTTTATTTAAACATTAAAGAATACTTTAGGTTAAAGGTGGGGTAGGTAAGTTTGAGAAACCGGCTCGAGATACACTTTTTGTTATATTCCATGGAATGCTCTTAACATCCCGATAGCAATGAATATCTTAAGTGCTTTGACAAAAAATCCATAAAAAAATGTCATCTGTGGAAGCCGTAATACTGTAAAAAGCACGACCAATCATTTTAGCCGGCCCGGCTAAAATAACTGGATGGCCTACCTGCCTGTCAGCCTTCCATCGGGGCACAAACTTATCTCGTGCCCTCATTGGTCATGTGCGCGTTCGTGTGTGTTGGAGGAGGGGCTCTGTAAGGAAGTGGCAGATTTTCTCCGGTTGTGTATTTTCAAATTCTAGCGATCTCAAGCCGGTTTCTCAAAC